ATGGGAGGAAATTAAACTGTCCTCTATCTACTGTGAATAGCTCATGTAGCACTGTGTTTTAAAATTCAGGTGAGGGAATCTGAAGCGAAACAGCAAGAAACATAATCAAACTGTTGAAAAGGATGCCCAGCAAGACTGTGGGATTTCTGTCCTTTGAGGTTTTTAAACAAGGACTACACAGATAGCCCTTCTTTAAATATCTGTCAGAAACATTGTGGGTATATCTGGCTCCTGTACAAGGAGAGTGATTGTTGCCTCAAGTTCTGTGCAGCCTAGATTGGAAACTTGGTAAAAGCTTTATGAAAACTTTTCTGTCTCATATTAATCTTATGTTCTTTATTCCCTATAAAATCTCCTAATATTTTTTTTTCACATTATTGTTTCTATATTTGCAAAGGCTGTTGTAATGCCCCTCCAGACTGAAAAGCCCTGAATAAAATAAATAAAATGTTTTCAGGAAAATCAGGAATTCCATAAGCTCTTTATAGAGTCTATTCCTTGCATCTAATCTTTTTCTTAACTTAGATCTTCAGCACAGGAAATTAAGATGATTATTTTTAATCCTGCCCTTTGCAGTCATAGAGAATGATTTAACATTATCTTCTGTCCTTACAAACCTTCATGTATTTGAAGACTTTTGTTTCTACCAAATCTTCTCCCTTCCAGACTAAACAAACCCAATACTTCAACACTTCTTCACAGGCCACACTGTTGAAACTCTCCTATTTTGTAACATTCTCCACTGGACTATCTCCAATTCATGCACATTGTCCTAAAGGATTGTAAGCCCAAACTGGATGTGGTTTTCCAACTATGGCCTCAATAATGCCAAGCAGGGTAAAAGATGCAAAGGAATCGTTTATCATCTAGAACAGCCTTGTTATTTTGGAAGGTATCAACATTTGCCTTTTGATTGCTATTTACAACAAACTTCTTTCAGTTTACAGTCAACTACAATCCCCAATTTTTTTTTAATAGTAATTTTGTTTTGTATTTCCAGAAATCTAACATTCATCAATACTTACAAAAAGCACTCTGAAATATATACTGGGAAAAGCAAAGTATTTCTTATTGGTATATAAATATTGTTATAGCTATAAGTATACCTGTACTGTCAAATACTTCCAAGTCTGTTTAATTTTGACCCTTTTGCAATTAAAAACTGGACCAGAGAGACAGTGGGGAAGACAAGGCTGGTGTACAGAGACTTGGGGGAAAGCTGCTTCTTTGCGTACATCACAAGCAGTACGAAAGTCTGCACTTCCAGAGTGATACAGTCACTGGTCCTGGACTGACTGCTTTTGTTTAGGAAAGAAGAAAACATGCTGTAAAAAGCAATAAAGATAGAAAGCAGCTGTGCTCCTCTTCTGCTGTGCTCTGGCTCTTTTCATACTGTGCGTGTAGCCACGAAGCTGATCCTGCCCAGGCTTTGCCTGCCCAGGGCGAGCAAGGCAGCCCTCCACCCACTCCATGCCGGCAGCATCATCCTGCCCAGCGACAGGGGCTCGCAGGGCCAGGGCTACAGCTGAGGCTGCCAGCTCAGAGCAGGGCTCTTTGCCGTCCCGTGCCATTTGTACCTCATCATCCTCCACTGCAAATTTTCCAGGTTTTTAGGCCAGCCACTGACCCGGCAACGCAACTCAGTGCAGTCCCCAGGACCATCTTTCTCCGAGCAGTGGTTCCATCAGTTAATGGGGGTCAGGGTCACCAACGGGCAACATCGGTGTCTCCTGCCTGCTTGCCTCCCTGGAGGCTCTGCATGGTGAGAAAGGCCACTGCCAAGCAATGGGAGGGGAGAAAGAAGGATTGGGGGCGGTCTGGAAAGCAGACCAGTGCATGAGGGAGACGGAGGGGCTGTTGGGCAGAATGGGATGAGCCAGCACTGTTGCAATCCCAGCTGACTCGGGCCCCAGTTAGCTAAGGTAGGACTAGGAAAATAATTCCAGTTTTCCAGGACATTTGAGATTACTGCTGCATGGACACATGTAGGATATTTTTTCTTATTTATATGTGTGTGCAAGTGCCTGAATAAAATCCTGTGTGCCCAGGGGAACAACTTAGCCTAGGAGCATCCTGGCAAGTCAGCTGGACCCAGCAGAGGTTAAGCTCCAACCCACAATGCAGAGAGAATTAAGGACCAAAGACGTCCCCATGCCACCGGCTGGGCTGCCCTCCCACATAAACCCTGCTGATGCGCTGCCGATGAGCTCAGACATGGCAGCATGTTGAAATTCCATGACAAAAGAGGAGGGGGGCAAAAAAAGGAGTATATGGCTACCTTTGATACTAATCTGTCTCATTCAGGACTACTGCTAATATATCCTAAGAATAGACACAGTTACCAGAGCCAGTGTTCAAAGGAAGGAAAAATGAAAAAAATGATTCTGTTTTCTACTAAATATAACAGTTCCCTCCCAAAAATGCAATTCAGGGAACTTTAATATTCTCTTTCGGAAAATTGTAAGTAGAGCCACAAGAAAACTGTCTCTCTCTTTTTCTGGAAATATGGTTGCCTTCATAATGCAAAATGTTCTAAATTTGTGACAAAAAACTGTGTCCTTTATAACCATCCATATTACTCCCTATCACATCTACACATCAATATAATGTAACTGCACATCACTGCAACATTACCTAGCTGCTGCCTGAGGAGTATCTAACAACTACCCTTATAAACACCTGTTTTGAAATTACAGGGCTAAAGATCTCCAGGTTTTAAAGAGAAAAGCAATACTGCACAGCCTGCCTCCGGCACACTACTTTGACTAACCCAACCTTGTATGTTCATAGCTTCCAAGAAAAAAGGCTACATATAATTACATGCCAGAGATTTGGGGGAAAGGTGGGTGATGTGAAACAAAGAGCATGTTTTCAGGAGCTATGAAAGCTGGTGCAGCTTACCAAGATCAATGACATGTCATCCCAGAGGAGCACTGACAAAAGCCTTTGTAGTTCTGCTCCCCTCCTGTCTGGCTATATTTTGTATTTCTAAGCAGGCAGTTTGCAGCCAGTGTGCATGTGTGTGCAGCCAGTGTGCACTGTGCATGCATTTAAGCACACGCATCATCCATGAAACACAATGTTAGAGATTACACACAAATACAGGACTGTGCAAAGATGGGTGGTACAAAGAAATACATATTTAAATTAGAAGTTAATACAGAGACAAAGAGTTGAGACAGAATATGGTGATATTGTTCCTATGGTCTAATCAATAAAATGCCCATCTAGTAGATACTAAAATGGTCTCGAGGCCACAGAGAGCAGCATGTTTTCATTTTGACTAATGCATCTTCAAACACAAAGCAGTGGGAAACACTGTAAATAACAGATACTAAAAAACAGTCCCCGAGAACTACAAAAAGACTAGCTGAAAATAATACATCTGAATCAGGTTTAAATAGGTTTTCAAGAAATAGCCTGACGCATGCAACATCAGCCTTTCAAAAAAGAGCTTAATACAAGAGGCAGTACAGAAGCAGATTGGGTGGAAAAGATTTTCTGAGCTGCTGAATTTATAAAAAGGTAAATACCATTACAGGAAAAGGTTCAAGATAAGGAGAACAAGAAAGAAAAACAGAAGCTTTTCCTCCTACAAGTGAGGGGCAGTGAAGTTTTTAGGACTTAGTTTGATATTTCAATAAATAATTATGTTTTTCCAACTGAACAACCAGCTAGACACGGCAAACTGTAATTAACACCAAGAAGCATAATACCATTTGGCATGCTTACACCTTGTTTCTGAACAGGAGGCTGCAAGAACCCCTTAAAAGCTATTCAAAGAAACTAATAATTATAATTATGTGCTAGTGTGATTAGGCTCTTCTAATAATGTCATGCCTATTGAGTGCACCCTATTGAAAAGCCCACATAAAAAATGCAGAGTTCCACTGATCTGTATGCTTATATCAGAAGCCCTCATTTGAAAATCTGAGAAATGAAAGAAACATTACTATGGAGATTAAGAAATTTGGTTTAGCACTGTAAAATAATATTATGATTGAATAATATTAGCACCATCTATTAATAAATGTGCCAGTATTTTCCATTAGAAGACAGCATATGCAGTTGCTTATAGCTATGCCAAAATTTTTAAGCTGTGTTAAAAAGTTCTTTGAATACTTTAAGGCTTCGGTGACCTGGAGCATAACTTTGACTAAGGGCAACAAATACACATTTTTGACTATGCATGAAGGGTCAAAACAGCATTAATAAGGTCACAGAAAAATCTGGTTATGCATGCAATTATACAGGTGCTAAATATTTTTATTATTATTACAAGTAGCCATTATAATAGAAACTCTCTTTTCTTCATCTTTATTGCAAGAAGCAAAGATATCATCTACAACCCTATTTTCAGTTGAGCACAACAGTGCTCTCAGTCCAACTGCGTTGGTAAGTACCTCTTGTTCATTTTAATTTAGAAGGACTGAAAGGTATAAGCAAGAAATGGAGATGCCTGCTACCTTGGGCCAATTAAGCCATGTACTTGAGAATGTATTCTCGAGAGTTGAGCACAGTGGTGTGATTCCTGGGCATGCAAGAGTGTATATACATGGGCATGTAGCTTATAGAAGGTGAGTAGCATCTGGCTGTTACAATGCAAGCAAGAAACCTTTGCAGGTGCTGAAGTCTATATTGATCTTGTACAAATGTATGTCAGCTGCTGTTTGAATGCTTGAGTTACTGAGCAATTTTTGTAGATAATCATGTCTTCTCACACAGCCTGGATGAGTTTTCAGAACATGGAACAAGTCAGACAAAAGAGCTTTCTCTGTGCCATTCAGGTTCCCTTCCCCTCTCAAGCAACCCTGTGCCTCATCTCACAATCACTCACCTCCAGATGTACCAACTATTATTACTTCTGGAGCCAAAGTAGAATTTACCACCCTCATTTGGAAAACACCCTCGGGGCTGCAAAAACCTTCAGACAAAGCAGGAAGGGATATATAAATGCTGTATTACGAAGAAAAGAAATTGTCCATAAAGCGAGGCATTACCATTCTCTTCATCTCCTTGGAGACCTGGTGAGCTCCAAGGTGGTTATAAAAGGGCCGGTCAACACCCCAGTGTGGTGGGTTATGGCTGATGGAATTAGCACGCTGACGGTTCATCTTGGCTATTGTGGCTTTCTCGTCTTTCTGAAATACAAATTAAAGAAATGCAGAATAAATTTTGAAATATTTACATGGCAGTCATTCTCCAAGCATCTCTCACTTCTGATCTCCCACTCCAGAGTTGGCTTTGCACCTTGAACTTTATGCAGTGGCCGCTGATCAGGAGCGCTCCCAGTCCACCATTTCTTTTTCTTCTTATTTTTTAGAACACTTGCCCCTAAGTGGCACCCATCATTTTATTCCTTTGCTTGTTTTGAATAACCACCATAACCTGTAAACACAGGGAGCATTCAAAAATGCAGACATCTATTTTCTTTTTTAGTAAACTGAATCAAACTGAATAATTTCAGATAGGAAATTGCAGTTCCAAGTGGGATATTACATAGAAGGCCCTCAAAAAACAAAAAAACAAAAAACCAAAAAAACCAAAAAGACTACCGGTGTGTCTGCAAGAGAAGTGACACACAGATCTGGTTGAAGAACAGGAACCCTCAAGCTCCTTGAAGTTATGTGAATAAAAGACACCTTTCCCTGTAGGTACAAGCAAATCATTTTCCACACTTGCAAAAGCATCTTCCCAGACATGCTAAGGAAAGCATATAAATCTTACAAACAACTTACCTGTGTGTCTGTTAAATATAATGGTATTGCAGAGTGTAACAAAATGGTTTCCCCTACCCTAACGCTAGCTGCAAAACTTATCATTGACACTAACTTTCCTGAAGTTTGGACAAAGTCTTTGGCTTTGTTATTAGAGTTGGTTTTGAATCTTGGTTGTAATTGGAGCTTACTGCAAAGCTCGCAGAGGATCTGTCAGAAAGGTTTCATTCAAGCTCAATGCCAGTTCGTAGCACACAGAAGTGCAGCATGTAACTAGGCTAAACAACAGGCTGGTTAGTTCTTTATTTTGAATATATTCTCTAGCTAAAAAGACAGGCAGGTTTCTACTTGGAATGTGTTCTGCAGAAAGACAGGAGTTTATTGCACAAGATCAAACCCTTTAATCTTCTCTAGCAAGGACTGCAGGAGACTTGCTCAGTGAGGACTGCGTGATTTACCTGTACTGACTCAGAAGGCAGAAGGGTAGCAATTACTACATCCTTGCTTAAAAGAGACAACTCTGGAGAGCTTGAAAATTTGGACAGTAAGAATCACTACAACTTGGCTGTTTATTACTTGAAAGATTAAACTTTTTCAAGAGAATTGCTGCTTTCATGAGATTGCTGAAAAAAATTAGACATAATAGTTATTTTTGGATTTCATAAAGAGTTCAGACAAATGAATAATTTAAAAAGAAAGCAGCAGTTTTAAACTCTAGAATTTTGGTTCAAGTGTTGTATGAAAATACAGGAAGGTCTGCATCTTTTTTTGCCTGGAGTCTGCTCTCCCTACCTATTTATTTTGATTCCCCATTATTCACATGTATTATTCACTTCAACTTGTATCTGTCAGGAGTTTGCAAAATAGCTGGTGTTATTCCCATGGTAACCAGAGAGTTAAATGTCAAGAGTTATGCTCCCTTAATTTTTTTTTCTTTAAATTCAAAAAAGCCTGCTAAAATTCAGTGTTGGGGAAAGCTGCCTGATTGACAAGCATGGGAAAGCATCATCTTTCTTCTTGCAAAGAAGAGACAGCTACAATGACATTTCCCATGAGACCACAAGCTCACCACGCAGGCCCCAAACGTTCCCGGGAATGTAGTGCTGCAGGTTTCATGGCCACTAGCTGGGGACACGGTGCCACTTGAGACAGGAGTCCTGTGCCACACACCCGACTGGCCCCGTGACAGTAAGTAGTAGTGGTCACTGCAGCCCTGGGCTGCCAACAAAGATCTTTTTCCACCCAGCCAGGATGACAAGAGTAGGATCTCAAGGAAACTCAGTGGGAGCAAACCTAAGGGAACTGTCAGCTCCCCAGGATGTTTGCTGGGGAGAACTGTACGTGCTCCCATACTGCACGCCCCCAGGACAGCAAGTGCCTCCCACGTTGCCTCTTCCCCACATCGAACCCACCACTGTTTCATCTGCAAGAGCTGAAAACTTCATCACTTGGCACCAGCTGAATTTCACATGAGCAATCATGACAGAGCCACTGGATACCCTCCAGGAAAGCTGTGTTTTAAATGTTTCTAAAAATACACTAATGTGATGCAATGCTGATGTCCAGATTTGAGTTGGTTTGAGGTTTTGTTTTTCAAAAGTCACTGCTCTTTATGGTCTTTGCCATAATTTGTAGCGCTTTCTTGTGTTTTTTCAGTTATGCAATCTTTTTCATAGTTATGCTTCTTTCTTGTATGATGTGATGCCAGAAAACTGGTAGGAAATACAGTTTCATTATCTCCAAGCAAATATATATTGTTTTCAATAGTAGAAGTGACACTGGCAATTCACTTTATTACAACTTAGTGAATGGTTTTCAACCAAAAGCAATCAAAAAGCCCAGACACTGAAAATAGTCTGGGCACCTATAAAAGTAAAGCTATTTGCTTACATTACAAATGCCTTTACATCAACAGATTATAAAAGATACATACAGAATCACAGAAACACTAGGTTGGAAAGGACCTTCAAGATCATCAAGTCCAACCATTAATCCAGCGCCACCATGTCCCCTAGACCATGTCCTGAAGCGCCACATCCACACGTTTCTTGAACACTTCCAGAGATGGCGACTCCACCACCTCCCTGGGCAGCCTGTTCCAATGCCTGACCACCCTCTCAGTGAAGAATTTTTTCCTAATATCCAATCTAACCCTCCCCTGGCGCAACTTGAAGCCATTTCCTCTTGTCCTATCACTAGTTACTTGGGAGAAGAGGCCAACACCCTCGTCGCCACAACCCCCTTTCAGGTAGTTGTAGAGAGCGATAAGGTCTCCTCTCAGCCTCCTCTTCTCCAGACTGAACAACCCCAGTTCCCTCAGCCGCTCCTCGTAAGACTTGTGCTCCAGACCCCTCACCAGCTTCGTCGCCCTTCTCAGGTTTCAGCAGGTTTCCTCACATGAGTTAGTAAATTTGGTTAGAATTTGAGAAAAGTCTTAATACCAAAAATGCAAGCAGACATACTAACTCCTCTCAGCCAGTGAGTGATCCTTCTACCTGCTGCTAGGGCTGGTGACTCTGAAGCATCACTTGATTATTTCAAAGGGAATAAAAGACCTCATACCATACATGTTTATTGACACATCTGGGTTGAGGTAAGGGCGGGACAAATGGGTAAATATATATATATTTCCAATCAGATTAAAACACATATATACAAGCATAGTGGATTTTTGGTTTCCCACATTACATACTGTGCTACTATATTATCTTCAACAATAGGACTTTGTTGTTAACATCAATACTTATGCAAAAACATTTTTTCTAAAACATGACATTTTTAAAAGTTGAGATAATTTATTTTCTGAAAAATCACTTGTTTGGTGGGTGATGATAATAACAAACTCTAAAAATTAAGAATCAGAAGGATCTTCGATCCTCTGTGGAAATTTATGAGGGTCCCTCCTCTGTTTCTTCCTGGTTAAGTGACAGCATGAGGACAACTTGCACACAGGGCTACCTATGCCATAACAAGACTGGAAAGAAGAATAAAGAAAAGAAAGAGTGATACCTGTCAGTCCTACTCATTACGGGTACTATCAACAACAGGAGCAGGTGCAAAAGTTTCTTGACAGCAGGGAGTTTTTCAAATTTAAAGTGGCTAAAGTCCAGAAAGCTGTTGTGGGAACTTTTCAAATCTGGACTTGCAAAGAGACTGTAAATCTTATTCCCAGAGGGTTTATTGCATTCCCACCACCAGTTCCCACACACTGAGCTACAGTAATGCTATAGCAAAACTGCAGAAATAGCTGGGATTTTCTTACACTTATCAATTGCATCAAGAATGCCTGTTACTTTAGTGTGTGGTAGGTTTTTCCAACATATTGATCACTATCAGTGCAACAAAGCAGTGAAATCTGAGCATGGATCACCCATTTCAGATTCAGCTACATATTATTCTTTAAATTGTCTTTAAGTCCTATTGATACGTGAACAATATTTCTTGCATTCACATGCTCCAAACTATTGCCTTCATAAATCTGCATGAGTGAAACCCTGCCGAGCTGTGATTAAATTTGTTAAATTGAGGAGTCATCGTATTAGATTGATTGTGTTTTAGGAGAGTCCCATGCACAACATTTAAAGGACCATTTTGTTTCTTCAGCTGGATGGAGTTCCAGGACACTATTTAGAAAAGAATGAGAATTGTTTTTCTATGAGTTACAGCCAAAGTTTTGTTCAGCTGTTTTAAGGCCACCATCAACAATCCTTTGTGAAACTGTTGTGTACCTGCTATTGTTAAAAGAAACACCCATGTTTACTGAAATTGAAAGACATTAGAAAAAAAATAAACATTTTTTTAGTTTGCTGACTTTGTGCACTCAGCACAGTGAGTTTAGTCAGCAGTATTGCTCATCTGTTGACAGTCACATTTTTCCACTTGTGTTCAAAGGAAAGCATTTCCTCAGACTTCTGACAGTGTTGAGGACAATAAAACACACTGTAAACCTAATGTGCTATTAAAATCCTATTCACCTTAAGGTCTGCTTCTCACTCCTCCAAACACATACTTTTCCACCCTTCTCAGAGTGAAGCTTTTACCAGTGATTTAGAAGTGATAAGTAATTGTGATAGTTCTGCAAATTAGTGCAGCACCTGATCTCAAAGTAGAGCAGAAAGTTGCCGACAACAAAGCGACATGCTCCTGTACAAACTCCAGAAACTTGGGCAGCACAAGAGTGGGACTACTGGATACTGTAACAATGATTAAACTGAGTACTGTAAGAATAGCAGGGATGCGATAGGATACCAGAAATGACTCGGACAGAGGTTTTGAATAAAATGTGGAAGGACAGATATAAAAGTTGTGGAGGTGGAGGTACAGAGCTATGTGTTAGGAAGGCTACAGTCTGCAGGGTAAACTTAAAAAAAAAAAAAAGGTATACCAAGAATAAAACAAAACCACATTGTAGAAGGATAAAGACA